ACCAACTCCTGTAAGGAAGGTGTGTCACGTTGTGCTCGAGTATCTCTTGTGGTGTTGGTTGCTTGGGTGCTTGCACTGCTTTCGCGTTTGTTCCTTGTTGCTGCTCTTCAGCATCTGATTCAAATTGTGTAGGAAACTCCTGATGTTCCTCAAAGTTTGTCCAGCCTGTCCAGGGCTTGTCTGACGCTTTAGCTGGCTGTGTTGTGCATTCATCTTCTACCAATCTTGTGTTGCTCCACCTGCTTGTGCCTTGGTTTGTCTCCAAGGTATGAGTCGCTTGGTGTCTGGCCCGTCGTGTGTCTGCTCTGGTATGTAAAACGCTGTTCAAGGCTCGTCTCTTCCAGTATGGGCCTTCTGTGTACCAGTAGTCTCCTCCAGGATGTACTTCTGAAGGTAGTCCATGTCCAGCTGCACCTGTGGTGGCGTGTGGTGCTGCTGTGTGCTGTGTTGTTGGTGGTGCTGTTTTTTCTCTCAATCGTGTCCTTGGGTTGTACTGGATTACTTGTGGTGTGACCTTCTGTGGCGCGCTCTTTGGCCGTGTCTTTGTTGCAAACCGTTGCTGTAGTGTCTCTGGCAACTGACAAGTTCGCCTTTTGCGTTGAACTGCAAGTAGTAGTCTCCTGCATGTCCTGTATCTGCAGGACCTTGTGGTGTAAGCGTTGTAGTAGGTGCTATCACGCCAATCTGTCCTTGTTCTGCGCTGTGTATCTGTAGCTTTGTTCCTTTTGGCAATGTTGTGATTTCTGCTTGTAGGAAGAAAAGGCCGTTTCTGTTCCCCAGTGTGATGTTGAATCCTTTGGCGTGTTGTAGCCTTGGAATGTCATCCAATGTAAGTTGGAAGCCTTGTTCCACCACCCTTGTAACTGAAAGAACCGGCTGTTTAACCTCACAAACGTAAAGCGGTATGACAATTTGTTGTCCGCTGTGGTTTGTCCCATCTGTACCCGAAAAGCTTGATGTGTTGGTTGGTCACTGTTCTGAGCTGCGGTCCTGTTCCATGTTCCAGTTGGTGTAATGCGAATTTTGGCGCAAACCGTGGCCTACATGTGTAGCCGCACCGCTGTCAATCATAAGACTGACTCTGTTGTTGTCTTCTGTGAGTTACTGCGCCAATCGTGGCAACTGTTACTTCTCGTAATCCTGAGATGGGTACTACTGAAGGATCTGCTAGCTGCGGTGGCTGTGGCAATGCAAGTTGTTGGGTAGTTGATTGTGTTTGCCTTTTCCTCCTTTGTAGTTGTAGTTGTTCCCGTAGCTCCCGTAGCCTTTGCCTTTGTTGTATTTTTTCTTTGCCCTTGTGTTTGCCCTTCTTTCCTTTGCCTTTGTTGCACCGTGTTGCTCCTATGCCCATCGGTGCCGGTCCTTGATTGTTGCTGCCTGATGTGCTTGCTTGTAGCCTGGTGAAGGTTGCTGTTGCTCTGTAGTATTCGATCGCCATGGATCTTATCTGTGCATATTTTGCGATGTTTGCTGCTTCCAGCTGTAGGTGTTGTTGTAGTGGGCCTTCTGTCTCATTGAGCAGTGCTGCAATCTTGACTGCATCTGGTAGTAGTGTGTTGTTGTCTTGTTCATGCTTGGAGAGTTGGAACTCCCACGTCATGAAGCTCTCGTCGAACTTCTGTTCATCCAGTTGTGGTTTTAGTAGCTGTGCCAGGTACCCAACGCTTCTTGCACCACGAGGTGTGGAGTACCTGGCATGGATCAGTCGCCGATGTCTCGAAACGTTGCCCTGCATGTTTTGTCTGCAGAAGTAGTGCAGATTTTGTATCCACTGCTCTGCCATTTGTTGTGAAGGTGCTGCATTCTCCAGTTGGTCGTTTGTAACTTGTCCTCCTGAGTGCTCTGACTGTCTTATGCTGGGTCTTGCAGTCCCAAGTATGCTGTCATCTTGTATTTCCATCCCTCGCAGGTGTTGCATTTTTCCTGTGAACCGTGGTGGGTTCCTTCCGTTGTTGTTGCGCCATGTTGCTCGCTACTGTGCGCCTGAACCTGTGGGTGCGTGTTGGAGCTCACCCTGGGTAGTCGTCGAGGATCGTGCACCAGGGATCACAGCTCCGCTACCATGTTAAAGTAGAACTGACTGTGCAATCACCTAACTACCGGAATGTGTGCAAGGAGCAGCGCCATTTGCAGGCTGGATGTATATTGACATGAATGAATGAAAGAAAGAAAGAATGAATGATGAATGAATGAATGAATGAATGAATGAATGAATGAATGAATGAATGAATGAATGAATGAATGAATGAATGAAGGAAGGAAGGAAGGAATGAATGGATGAATGAATTGCGTAGCCTGTTGGGCCCGTTGAGGCCGAGCTGGTTAGGCCCGCTGGGGCCGTTGCCCAATGGGCCTGTTGGGCCCGTTGGGCCCGTTGGGCTTCAGGACGGGCTGTTGGGCTTGTTGGGCCCGTTCAGGCTGTTGGGACCGCTGGGCCCGTTGGGGTTGTGTGGGTCGCTGGGCCCGTTGGGACCGTTGAGCCGCTGTGCCCGTTGGGCCCGTTGGGCCTGCGTTGGGCTTGAGCCCGTTGGGCGTTAAGCTTGTTGGGCCCAACAACCTACGGGCCCAACAAACCCAACAAGCCCAATGGGCCCGACGGGCCCGACGGGCCCAACGGGCTCAACGGGCTCAGCGGGCATACGCTGCGACACGTTACATTCCACACATACACTACATACATAGCACTACCCACATAACATAACATAACATAACACAACATATCACATAACATAACATACACACATTACAAACATACATAAATGCATACATAAATTACATATACTACATATATTAAACACATACATACATACATACATACACACACATACATACATTAAATTACATCACACGCATGAACTGCATTGCATTACATAAATAACACACATGACATTACATTAACACATGCACACACTGATACGCATGCGTGCATTCATCTAACATACATACTTACTTACCTACATACAAAAATACGTACATACATACATACATACATACATACATAGCATAACTAACATACATACATACATACATACATACATACATACATGCATACATACATTACATACATTCCATATATACGTACATACATTACACACATACAGGCATACACACACATACACACACACATACACACACACACATACATACATTACATACATACATGCGTAACATACATACATGCGTACATAGCATACATAACATACATAACATACATACATAACATACATACACGCATACGTCACATTACATTGCATTACACTACACTGCATTACATTACATTACCATACATACATAACACTACACACTACATACATACATACACATACATACATACATACATTACATTACATTACACGCATGATCTGCATTGCGTTACATATATGACACACATTACATTACATCAACACACACACATACATGCATGCATGCATACAAACATACATACATACACGCACATATTCGTACATACATACATACATAGCATAACATACATACATACATACATACATACATACATACATTACATTACATACAGACATACATACATAACATAACATAACATAACACACATACATACGTACGTACGTACATACATACACACACATACACACACACATACACACATACATACACACACATACATACCATACAAATTTGCGTACATAGCATACATAACATACATAACATACACATACGCATACATCACATTACATTACATTAAAATGTATTACAATACAAAACATACACAACACTACACACATAACACAACATTACATACCATACCATACCTCAACATAGCATAAAGTACAGTAACATAACATACATCTATAAATGAGAATTTACCCCATCTTCCTTGTTCCAAAAACGGTCTTCCGCCTCGCCCTTCCGCGAACCTTCCGCGATGCAGGTAAAACCACACTTTTTGGCACGTGTCTAAACACATGTAAGTTCTTGTAAAGAAAAAGCAAAGCGAGCCAAGACGAAGAGCCAGAGCAGGGGGCTCAGCGGTCCGAACGGGCCCAGCGGTCCCAACACCCCAACGGGCCCAACAAGCCCAACAGGCCCGACGGGCTCAACGGGCCACACGGGCTCAACGGGCCCGTGAAGGTGAAAGTGACTGCGCACTAAGCGACAGGATTTGCGCCGCACTAAGCAACAGGATTTGGACCGCACGGAGCGACCGCCTGACCAGTGTTAAACAGGTCACTTAGTGCAGCAAAAAACCCGTCACTTAGCGCAGTCAGAACCCAGGTGTTAAACCGGTCAGTTCAATAAAATCAACGGGCCCAACGCGCTCAATGGGCTCAACAAGCCCAGCCCGCTCAATGAACCCAACGAACTCAACAGGCCCAAGCTCCCAACGGGCCCACAGGCCCAACGGGCTTAACGGGCCCAACGGGCTCAACGGAATCAACGGGCCCAACGGGCTCAACGGGCCCAACGGGCCCAGGCTCTTTTGCCCACCTGGTTCCAGTTCAACTTGCGTTGCGTTACATTCAGAGTCTTTTCTCCAGTGGCCAAAACTTGCATCCTTGCATCTTGCACACCCACTGAGTTCTCACAGCAACCGTGAGCGTCCAACCAGCTGGACTTTGGAGCTCCGGAACACTGGGTCCATACCGTGCAGAGAGCGAGCCGAGAGACAAGGCTTGTGTGTAGTCAAGCCGGTTCAACTTAGAGTGCTCAACTGGCCTTGGCATGACAGTGACACCCTACCACCTTCTTGAAGAACATCTCCGAGCTATCAAGCACTGTCCTAATGGGCAAAGAAACTTTCTGCGCATGAAGTCAAGGAGCAGAAGGCCCCCCCAAACGGTCTAAGAGACCCTTGCGGATCCGAATGGCCATCAGGAGGTTTGGGCTCTCAGACGGGGCTCCCTTTATTTCCCCTTAACACCTCACCAAAAGGAAACGCGCTCAAAAAGAATAACCTTTAAATCGTGATATTGAAATCACCAAAAAAGCAACACAAGGACCTCTGTCAGATGCCACGGAAGCTCCTCTACGGAGTCGAGGCGGACGTCAATGGCAAAGACCCTGGCCTCTGACATGGTCCTGTAGAGATCCGTCCGTCCGAAACTGCAACGAGTAAACAAGGGGCCTTGGCTGAAGTTGCAAGCAGCCTTTGCAGGAGTCTGCACCCGTCTGGGTTGGGAGCATTTGGTTTTTGAATCAAATCTGTTTCTAGCAGGGAACTCGCCACACAGCAAAAGACTTCTAAGGGTGGAACGCGCAAACCCGGACGAACTGCTCAAACTTTGGGGGGTCACTTTGCGCCAGAGATTTTCCCACCTCTTCGGGGATAATCATTCTAAGGTAGAAGGACTGCAGATCCCGTTTTTGGAATTGAATTGCGGCGCCACCCGTAAGGGTAAGAAGCTTCGGGCTGGTTTGGGGCTACCGCGGAATCCCACGGCCTGCGCTTGCCCGGCACATGGTAAGCGCACCCGCCCACGAGTTGCGTCGCACGCCTGCCGTACGCGCGCCGCGCTTGCCTGGAACGCGTCTACACACATGCTTGCGCATGGCGAGGTTGGCGGCCTTCTGTTTTCCACGGCTTTGGTTTCTCGTGAGAGCTCGGCGGCATCCACTACCACAACGCGCGCAGTTGTTCCATTTCAGGTGAGGCGTCGTCTCGCGACTCGCGCGCATGCCTGGTTTTCGGCGGCATGAGTTATAAACACCTTGGGTGCACACAGGGTCCCTGAAAACCCAAGCAGGATACTGGCAGCGTGCGTGGGCAGGTGAACAGCCCACAATGAAAAACATGGAGGTATCTGAGATTGTTCCAACGGACGTGGGGGGAACAAAAACGAATCTGCTCACTCACACTCATCCGCTTCTGCCCGTATCAACTTTGTTCTCTTGCCCAAAACGCTGCTGTTGCCTCAGCGAAATCGTAGTTTTGATTGACCGTGGGCCGGTGAAAAGCCCGGCGGCTAGTTTGTGGTTAACGTGGGCATGATGTGGGTTCACGGTGTGGCTCTTGCTTTGGATTGTTTCAGGTGTTGGGGGGCTTAGGATTGGCTCTTGGCTTACGTTTTTGCTTTTTCGGGGTTGGGCGAGTTCTTAGACATGGTTTCGGGTTGGGCGTGTGTGATGGGAAAAATGTTTGTCAGTTGGCCCAGTGTGGCTGAAGGCCGGCTTCGGGTTGTAAGGATCGTTTAGGGTAGGTCCAGGGTCTGTTTTTGGCTGGGTTGGTGTAGGGTGTGTTTAGAGACTCTGGATGGATGGCCTGCCTGCCTTCCTGCTTGCTTGCTTGCTTGCTTGCTTGCTGGCCTTTGCTTGATTGATTGCTGCCTGCCTCGCCTTTGGCTTTGCTTTGGGCGGGCTTTGGCAAAAGGGTGCACCAATCTACGGTTCTTGAACGCCATGTTCTTTGGAACCACAATCCGGAAGGCAACAGGGCAATGGACTGCCGGCAGGGTTTGCCGTTAAACACCCTTCTGGGAAAATCCGGCAAGCCTCTCTGCCACGCAAGCCTTCTTCCTGTCAATCCACGCAAAGTCGCCCCAAAGGGCTTTAAAGGTCCTGGATTGTGTGGAGGACGCATTTTTCCCCACACCCGGCAAATGCTTCTGCGGTCCGAACAGAAGGCCCAATCAGGAAATGTTTGTGCGATTCGGCGACTCAAGCTCGATCCCACCGTCTGGGCACACGACATGGGCGCTTTGCTCTCATTCGCAAGAAACCTGGGGAATAGGACCTCGGCTGCCACGACATTCATAGAACTCAAAGCTGCAACAGGAAGCCATTGACCACTACCAACTGATTAACAACTACGAGTGACAATTAGGGCGCGTTGAGGAACACTACCTTCCCATGGCTCCCTGCCATGGCTCTGAATCACGTTCCCTTGTTGAGCGCGCCCGTTTTTAGTTGTTGGTTTCGCTTCTACAAGCAGAAAAGATTGAAGACAAACCGGTCTGCGCGATCCTCTTACAGACTAGAACCACGAGTACTGCGGGCCGGCTTCACGGGTTGATCTATGGGGTACTGACTCGGGTTGGCTCCGAACTCTTGATTGCCCCCCCAAGAAAAAGCAGGAAAATAAAGCAAACCAGATTCTGCCTTGGCCTCCCCGTCCCTCAAACAAGTCTTTTATCCGATACATCTACACTTCGCCCGCCTCAAGTCTTGTCTGGGAATGTGTATCCCCGTTTCCGCAAGATAGGCATCATGTCAAAGGCTCCTTGTTCAGATACCAGCTCAATTGGAAATCAGAGCGGCCACACCGTCTTTGGAGTCATAGGCCTCCTTTTTAAGTTATTTTGGTTGGAAACTGGCTTTGGTTTAGGCTGGTTTTACTAGATTTCCCAGGGCCATCTATTGTTCCAACCGGTCACCTATGATTGGAGTACCACCGCTACATAGCCAACACTACCCCCTACTAAACCAAAACGAAATAAATACACAACCAGTTCCAGGCCTGCAACAGTGACTGAAAGGAACGGAGGCCGCAAATAGCCAGGTCTACGTGGCCGCAAATAGCCAGGTCTACGTGACATCATCTACTAAGATATCCACCCACCAAAAGGTTCAAGGGAGTGGTAGCGGGAAGCCCCGGATAGAAAGCAAGACGACATGCTTCAGACTAGGTTTTCCAAGAACAAAATCGCACTTCGCGCACCAGCTAGGAGCAATATTTGAGTAGCCGATTCTACAAACGGACGCGGGGGGGAAGCACCCAAATGTGCCATTTCTGTCTCAAAGCTTTTGACAGCGCCAAAGCCTTCCAGACCTAAACAAGGCGCTCAAATAGGGACCAAAGCAGACCACCGGCGTTTAGGGGCCATTCCCCACACACACACACCCTACCCACACCAAGCCCCTTACTTGCAACCCGAGAGCCTGGAAACAGCTAAGACGCAGCAAAACTAAACACTAAAAACAGCGAAAGCCTTTGCCCGTGCCATAAACGAAAATTGCAAGTCGTCTTGGAGGCCTCTCGAATCGCGGGAACAACTTTAATCCATTGCAAAACCAGCAAAGAACTCCGCGCCAGCGTGGGAACTGTCTTCGCTGACCCCTGAAAGAGCAAAAACAAGCAAGCAACCAAGCAAGCAAGTAAACAATCAAACAAGCAAGCAGGCGCGCACGCAAGCAAGCAACACAGGTCCTGAGCTTGAGATGCGCTTGTTTGAGATTCCCGTTGTTCCACGCCTTCAGCCAGTGGTATTATTCCTTGCGCTCGGCTGGAAACCCTGTGTCTCAAGGACTCCTGCCTGCCCTCCGCAGCTGAGCTACAGCGCCTTATTCCGCGGACACCAAAAAACTGCAAGTTGCAAGCGGCGAAGCAAACTGTGGACACGATATCATCTTTCCGGGGCTTTGCGGGTTGGTTTACTTACCCGCGTGAATGCCCAATCCCTTCAGCCAGCCAAGTCCATACGCCGCGTGGCAGACATCTGATGCCACAGCCGGGCGCGCTCGGATTCCGCTTCGGACATGAACTCCAGGAAACGGCCTGCGCGCAACTGGCCCAACGCTGGCCATTGAGCTGTGAAAAAAGACGATGGTTGCTGGTTGTCTTACCTCTAAAACTTTGATCAATTACGGAAAACCACTGGTTTTCAAACCTGTTCCCACACGTCTCAGAGAGTCAAACATGGCGACCCTGAAAAGCCCCGCATTTGTTATTGCAGCTTCGCTCTTGCGCTTTCACTGTCCGCATGAACTTTTTTTTGGCTCCAGCAGCCCCTCTGAAGGCCCAAGCCCACGCCCAGTTACATACAGTTCTCCCCCAGAAACACGCAATTCTCCCCCACACGAACGTCAGGCTCCTTGTCAAATCCCTCTAGAAACGCAGCAAATCCCCTAGCAGCTGGTCGCATTGCCCGCGAGAAGCCTGCTGGGCCGCCTTTTGAGAACCAAGCAAATTACAGTCTGGAATCCTCCAAAAACCGGTCCAAGCCAAATCTCAAAGAAACCTGCTAAATTCCAAACCAGACGTTTCTCGCTCACATTCCACCCAGAAACCGTCCAAAATCCCCTCTAGCCCAGACACCGGCCAATACAACCCAGTCAAAGCCAACTCCAAACACAACACCTCAAGGCGAACAAAAAACCCAAAGCTGCCCAAAAAACCGAGGCGGGAAACGAAGCGTTCATCAGAGAACCATCACGATCTCGTTTTTTCCCTTGAACACCACAAACGATTGCTCAGGGTCTGCGCTGAGTCTCTGAGAGCCAGCAAGCAAGTTGTGTTGTCTGGCTGCCCATCTTCAAGGTACGGGAGCACCCCTGGGCTTGCTAGTTTGCATGGGATGAGTACGCCCCAGAAACTCATCATCGAAATCATGGAGGAAACCACCTACTCGAGGATGTTTTGCCAACGGCGCCGTGTGTCACAGAATGTAATCAAAATTTGCATTGGCGCCGGGAAGTCACTGCCAGTACGCTGAGCCAACTGCTCGCACGCTGTCCGTGTCCTGTGCGGTCGAGTGATTCCTTCTTCTGCGCAGCAAGTGGCCGAGCTCGTGCCTTGGAGAATATGAGCACCATCGTCAATCGTCCAAACTTCACCCAATCTGCGTGAACTGGCAGCATGGGCAGGACGCTGGTTGATCTGGCAAAATAGCAATGCGTCGCTTGAAGACTAGCACCGGTTCGTTGACCGCGGTGGCTTGCCCTTTGTGGGCCCTCCCGACACACCTTAGAATCGCTTGTTTCCTACAGATGGTTCCCGTTGAGTAATCCTAGTCTTGCGCAGTTTGATGCTTGGCATCTGCGGGTGGGCCAACCACACCTTGACAGTCGCAGAGCTTCGCCCAGCGCAGAGCGTGTTTGTGCAGATGCTCCCACGACCCCGTACATCCGTGCTAGAACCATCACATTCAGTAGTCGCATCGGCGCCGTCATGGCAGCCAACTCAGAGCAACACTTGATCGGAGAAACCCTTGCCGCGCAGCAGGGTGTGGTTCTTGACATGCCAAGCGCTGATGGGAGTCCGCGTTTTCTCTCGCCTCACCAGTTATGCTTGCGCATGGCATTTGCAAGCCCGTCACACTGCCTGCTCGGTTGGAAATTGCATTGTTTTAGCTGCATCGCTTGTATGTGCTATGGATCAGTGCCACGATGCCCTCATGCTAGAGCCCTGGGTCAACGGCCAGCAGCTCCAGCACCGAAGTGGAATTGGCTCACCTTGCCGGAGCCAGGAAGGTGCATACGGTGAGATCAACTGGGTTGGCCGAATTTGAGAGAGGCCTGGGGCAATCACTTTGCCCGCCTGGCCACTTCAATGGAGGCCGTCAAAGGTCGGAAGGCGTGTTGGGACATCAAGGCAGATGCACTGTTCGCAGCGGTTGTGTCCTTCAAGCAGCCTGGTCTGTTAGGCAGTGGGAAGCAGACCAGAGACGCACGCACCATCCTGCTCCAGCAAGGAGCGCCGGTCACAAACACTGCGAAGCCATGCCACTCAGACCCAGCGTTCATCACACGCATCATTTTCCAACAGCGATTTATTTTCGAACGCCGATTTCCAGAACACGGAGGGGTGGGGGCTGGGGCAGCTACGTTCGCTTTCGTACTGCGTCACCGTGCAACTGCGTTGCAGGGCTGGTGCAATTAGTGTAGCTGTGTGGGGCGGTTGGGCGTGCCCTCAACCGCACAGCTGCGTCCTGGTTGCTGGCAAGTGGTAGTGGGGAGGGGGTGGGTAGGGTAGGGCAGGAACGCTTCCCGTGTGTGGGTGGGTGGGCTTTGAGGGCGCCTTAACTTGGAAACATGGCCGTGGCGCTTTTACAGGATTATGTAGGTGGGTGCAAAGGGCAACCCAAAAAAACGAAATTAGAGGTTCTCAGGGCTGTGACGCGCAGCCTTTGGAGCAAAATGCTCATTCAAAAAAGAGCCGAAACACACGTTCAAAAACGACCCCCTTTCCATCCAAATGCCACCCGCTTAGACACACTTAGAAACGGCAGCCGCTTACACCCCAGTCAGTATTCTAGAAGCAGCAGGACATCCCTCAGGTGGGATTCAAAAGACAGTTGGGCTTGTTCAAGTCTTTTTTTCTTCAGTAGCAACTTAGGCCCCCTGCAATCTATAGACCGACGTGAACCGGACCTAGACGCGAGGTGCGACGGCGAACTCCTGAATTTGAGAGACATGACAGTAAACAGGACAGAGTGAAGGACATCCCTCAAGAGTCCACAACCACTTATGACGTCATCTTCCTGGCTCCAAAAGGCGCCTTGGAAGCCTCTTTCAGTCTATCGATGGGAGTTTCATCAGCTTCATGTTTTGATGGCCGCTGTGAAGATGAGGGTAAACCTGGCGTAAGGCCCAGTCATCTGGTGAAACTGAAACTCTGGATGTTCGCCGTTTTGCTGCTGAATTGGCTGGCCGCAAAAAACACGTGGTTGGTGCGTGAATGAAAAGGGACTCAGTGGACAAAAGTCAAAACTTGCCATCTCAACAAGCAAGTTTGCTCTTGACCGTGGTTTTTGGTTTGCTTTTGGTTGTGTGAGAAATCCAACATGCCTGTAACTCATACGAATAATTCCTACAAATGCTTGGTTTCCTTTGGGGTTCCTTGAGAAGCGCTGGAAGGCTCCTTAAAGAGCAGTCGGGCGTTGGGCTGACGTTCTTCTTGCGTGCGTGCGTGGGCGCGTGGGCGCGTGCGCCCGTGGGTCCGTGTGTCAGTCTGTCCGCGTGTCTGTGTCTCTGTGTCTCTGTGTCTCTGTGTCTCTGTGTGTCCGTAAGTCTCTGTGTCTCTGCGCGTCTCTGTGTGTCTCTGAGTGTCTTTGTCTCTGTGTGTCTCTCTGTCTCTGTGTGTCAGTGTAATCCTGTGTCCGTGTGTCTCTTTGTCCGTGTGTCGTGCGCGTATCTCTCTGTGTCTGTCTGTGCGTCTCTGTGTCTCTGTGTCTGTGTCCGTGTGTCAGTTTGTCTGCGTATCCGTGTGTCTGTGTGTCTGCGTGTCATTGTGTCCGTGTGTCTGTGTGTCTTTGCGTCCCTGTGTCTCTGTGTGTCAGTCCGTCTGGGTGTGTGCCTGTCCGTCTGTGCATTCGTGTGTCACTCTGTCTGCGTGTCTGCTCTACGTATCTATCTATATGCGTGTCCATGTGTCTGTGCGTCCGGGCGGCTGCGTGTCTCTGTGTGTCTGTGTGTTCGTGTGTCTCTGTGCGTCTGTGTGTCCTTGCGTCTCTGTCTGTGCGTGTCTGTGTGTCTGTGTCTCTTGTCTGTCTGCTTGTCTGCGTGTCTGTGTCTCTGTGTGTCAGTGTGTCAGAGTGTCTCCGTGTGTCCGTGTGTCTGCGTGTCTTCGGGTCTCTGTGTGTCTGTGTGGTCGTGTGTCCGTGTGTCAGTCTGTTTTCGTGTCTGCGTGACTGTGTGACTGTGTGTCTCTGCGTGTCGTATGTCTGTGTCTCTGTGTCTGTGTGTCCACGTGTCAGTTTGCCTGTTGTGTGTCAGTCTGTCTGCGTGTCAGTGTGTCGTGCGCGTGTCTCTCTGTGTCTGTGTCTGTGTGTGTCTGTGCGTCTCTGTGTCTCTGTGTCTGTGTCCGTGTGTCAGTTTGTCTGCGTATCCGTGTGTCTGTGTGTCTGCGTGTCATTGTGTCCGTGTGTCTGTGTGTCTCTGCGTGCCTGTGTGTCTTTGCGTCCCTGCGTCTCTGTGTGTCTGTGCGTCAGTCTGTCTGCATATCTGGGTATCTGTCCGTGTGTCTGTGTGTCTCTGTGTCTCTGTGTGTCAGTCCGTCTGGGTGTGTGCCTGTCCGTCTGTGCATCCTTGTGTCACTCTGTCTGCGTGTCTGCTCTACGTATCTATCTATATGCGCGTCCATGTGTCTGTGCGTCCGGGCGGCTGCGTGTCTCTGTGTGTTTGTGTGTTCGTGTGTCTCTGTGCGTCTGTGTGTCCTTGCGTCTCTGTCTGCGCGTGTCTGTGTGTCTGTGTGTCTGTGTCTCTTGTCTGTCTGCTTGTCTGCGTGTCTGTGTCTCTGTGTGTCAGTTTGTCAGAGTGTCTCCGTGTGTCCGTGTGTCTGCGTGTTTTTGGGTCTCTGTGTGTCTGTGTGGTCGTGTGTCCGTGTGTCAGTCTGTTTCCGTGTCTGCGTGACTGTGTGTCTGTGTGTCTCTGCGTGTCGTATGTCTGTGTCTGTGTCTGTGTGTCCACGTGTCAGTCTGCCTGTCTCTGTCTGTCTGTGTGTCAGTCTGTCTGCGTGTCAGTGTGTCTGCGGAGTCTGTCTGTGTGTCTCTGCGCGTCTGTGTGTCCATGTGTCTGTGCGTCTGTGCGTCTGCGTGTTTCTGTGTCTGTGTGTGTGTCAGTGTTTCTGGGTGTTCGTGTCTCGTCAGTCTGTCTGGGTGTCTGTTTGTCTGCGTGTCTGGGTCCGTGCGTCCGTGCGTCAGTCTGTCTGAGTGTCGGTGTGTCTGTGTGTCTGTGTCTCACTGTGTGTCTGTGTCTCTTTGCGCGTGTCTCTGTGCGGCTGTGTGTGTCTGTCTCTCAGTCTGTCTGCGTGTCTGTGCGGCTGGGTTTCTGTGTCTGTGTCTTTGTGTGTCTGCGCCGACGGCGTTCAGGGGAAAGATGCGCCAGAGCTGTCGCTTTACCTTGGCTTACCTCTTGTGCGTACCAAGTGGAAGGCCAGCCCTTTTGTTAGGACATCAACAACGGTTGAGCTCCATTTCGAGCGCCCTTGTGGTGTGGAATCGATGTTGTTCTTCGCCTTATGCAAGGTGTTGAATGCTTCGAGGCCCCAGCCTCGCATTTACATCGTACATTGTCATCCCTCATCCGAGTTCGCAAAATGTGGCGAACATTGCGCACACATCACAATCAGGACAGCTCTTGCCCAGCCTGACTTCGCCCCTGACACTTTTGGGGCAATTGGGATCCAGTCACAGGGAAGGGGTCCCAACTTTGTTCTAACAGGCAAGCCTTGTCCCCAGCCTTCCGTCTTCTCTATAAGGTTCTCTTGTGCGCCTGGCTGGCGCAGAATCCCATAAAACCTTGGCAGGCACTGCGCGCTCTTTCTTCCCCACCTCTCAGGTGCGGTTCTCTAGGTTTGATAAACACCTACACATCCATTTATCTTAGTTCTTCGCTATCTATCTACCGTTTTTTTCTCTCACTCTCTCCGTCTATGTACCTATCTATCAATCTAATCCAGCCATCCGTCCATCCATCTTTCTATATAGGTATTTGGTATTTACCTACCGTCTCTCTCTTTGTTTATCTATCTATCCATCTATCTGTCTAACTATCTATCTCGCTATCTGTACCTAACGTTGCGAAAGGGCTGCGGCTACCACGAAATCTGCTGAAAGTGCTGCGCCTGCCACGAAATCTACACGTGACCTTGCAAGAATGCTCCGCCCGCCAAGAAATCTGCATTTCCTTGCGAAAGCGCTGCGCCTGCCACAAAGCACCCAACCTTGCGAAAGTGCCACGTCTGCCACGAAATCTGCAGCTAGTGGTCCGTTGTTCCCAGTTTTTGTTTGCAGGGTTCCCCACTAAAATGACAACCCCAATGGCCGAAAAGAAGCGGCTGTCTTTTGTTGTCTGCTGTGATTTCTTGGCGTTTGGGAAAAGGGATTCCGGCCCATGGCGTTGAATGTGTTTCCAGTCTGCTGCTGCGGGCTTTTTACATTTAGAGCTCACACTTTCCCTTTGCGCTTGGGTAAGTTCGGGCGATCCCCACCGTTTAAAAATGCGCTCTTCTCTCAAGCTAATGTGGCAGTTGTTTTATGTCCAGGGAAGTCACAGCTTCACTTTGGGGTGGAATGGGGTCCGCCGCTGTAAACTGAATACTCAAGCATTTATCAGAGAGCCTTTGACGGGGGACACCGGAACGGGTTGGGGTTTCAGGCCGTTTTAGAAAGAAACGAAGCAGCCCGAAAAACCGGAAGGTGGCCGCCAAACCAAAGACCCCCAAATTGGCCAGGAACCACGCCCGTTCGCGCGACCCCCCCGTTGAGGGGCGCCAAGAGATTGTTTGTCAGCGCAGATGAAGAAAGCGCATCGGCTTCCCATGCCAGTTTGGAACGCAAATATGTTTTACTTATTTGGTGGTCCACCAACCCAAAGTAAGGCTGTAACAGGGCTTGCGCCGTGCCTACAAAGAGTCACATACATCTGACTAAAACCCCACCAAAGCAAGCCAGGCTAGCCTTTCCACGGAAGAAACCAGAAGGGTTTCGGGCGAGGACTTGCTGGGAGGCTAAGCTTGACTCTCTACGAGATGATTCCCAAGCAAAAGACCTACATCATCGTAGATAACCTACTTTAATCTAAGCAGAATCACGCCGGCAAGGCGGGACATGGTGGCATCCATCGTCTGCAGCCGTCTCTGCGTTTGCAACATCTGCTGGTTGACATTTGACTCCATCGTGTCCATGGTCCTGTTGGGCGGCGGGTGGCCTTCAAAACTTGGGCCCGCTCAAGACATGCGCCAGCAAAGTGGGTCAAAGCTGACGCCTAAATCGGTGTCACACTGGCGTAAAAGCAAACATATCAGCAACAAACAACATCTGGGAATGTGTTTTCAGTTCACCAAACTGAACTAACCATGCGGACAGAAAACCAAGCAGCTGTCCGTTGCACTTCCCATATCATTGGTGTCACGCGTGCCCAAAACCCAAAGGCAAACATGTTGCGCGTGGAGTGTAAGCAGTGGAGTGGAGGCACTTATCATTTGGCGTGGGGGAATAGGGGACTTCAGTTATGAGCGCACGCGAGAATGTCCATGCTTGAATGACACCCAAGGGAGGCCATCGGGCGTTGTTCCACTTGGTTTTGACAATCCAAAGGCTGAGCAATACCTTTTTTTGGAAACAGCCAAAGCAAAACCAAGATCCGTTTTGCTGACTTCCCCATATCTTTCGGTGGTGGGGGTTCCCCATATTCTCCGACAATCAAAGTGTTCAACAAAGGGTTCAAGTCTCCAGCTATCTGGGAAGACACAAATGCTGCCACAGTTTCAAGCCATCCATGTGATTCTTTTCACCACCTTCAGGCAACCAAGGCATATAGAAACCCTATGGCCGAACAGTCAAAGTCACATTGGGCTCAGCCATGAAGAGCAGCAGGATTGCGCAGGTGCGGGGTGTTGAAACAACACAAAACAAGAAGCCCCCCGCCAACCCAGACCTGGAAAATAAACAAATCAAGCACCACTAACAACCCACGTTTATCAGCCAAGTCTCTGTCCGAATTGCCCAGCCCTTGTAGAAAACGAATGTTTTTGGGGACCAAGCTCAGGGCGTCCTCAAACCCCAACCATAAAAACACGGCGCTTCACGGGTGCTACCTGGATCAGAAATCCAAAACGTGCCTCTCGAAGTTGCCTCGTAGCTCCGCCAGCGCTGCGCTCTGGGCCTCATGAAGCCTTCGCATCTCCTGAAACCACCGAAGGGCAGCCGCACTGACCAGAGCGGCGTCCGATTCGGCTGCGAAGCTTGAAAACGGGAGCCTCAAACATGCGCGTGCAGCATTGTAGGGCGTGCGCATGCGGGTGTGTAAGTATGTGCGTACATATTTACTTTCTCATGTGTGCTTGGTTGCAACACATACACTAAATTCAGCGGCCACAAGAGGCATCTTTTGAACGCCAACTCAACCGTCTGATCGTCCTCCTTGCTGCTGCTCTGCGCTGCCTGCCAGACTTGATCCAATATGTCTTTCAACGGCCCGGGCTCGGAGCCCCGTGGAAATTGTCTAGCCACTCCCTCCCAGACAGTTCATTCACGTTTTGAGCAGTGTCAAATTGCACTAGAAGGGTGCTTTGGCTACGATGAATGACGTCGTAAGCTTGCTTTTTGTGTTTAAGCAGTAGTTAATATGTGCGAGAGTTTGACCCTTTTTTTGGCAACGCCCCAAAACGCTAAAAAAATGCACGTTGCCCAGACTGTGACATGTCAACACAGCATCTGCCCAGCCTGGCCACTGGTTTGATCAGACCACTTGATCAGACCGCTTGCTTTGCTGGGGTTTTCAGATCAAAGTAGATCAAGAATTGTCTGATCAGAGCGAAAACGGTCAGGAAGTTATTCTCTTGTCAGCCAGGACAGACCCGAGAATGGTCTGATCGGACCATGTCACGTTAGACATCGCTTGGGGTGAACGGGATGCTATGATGATAGTCACTGTGATGATCTCTTCCCCTGCTAATGAAGGTCTCCCAATAATCAAACTTTGTTTCGAAAGCCCCAAGTTCAGGAGTACTACTTTTAGAACTGCCAACACTAAACCAAAGGTAGGCATTTTTCTGCCCGTACTCACACCCAGCCCTATTAGGGGACCCAGGCGTACGTTTCCTTCACTACGGTGCAGGCAATGAGTTCCAGAAGTGCAAGGAGGCTCCTCGCTGGCCGCTATACCTGGCAGACTGCGCGCAGCAATCTCTTGCCGCGCCTAGTGAGCCAGCACATAACGGAGCAGGAGCACGCTGCGGAGGCGGATCGCTTACCGTTGTCGGTCTAGCTGGCCCGCGGCTGGGAGCCCGTTTGAGGACCACGATAAGCTAGGGCGGCTATATGCCGTGCCGATCCGCAAGGACATTTTTCGAGAGCTTCACCGCAAAGCAGAGGAAAAGATCTGCGAGCTCGAACCTTCTGCGGGAGAAAAAAACTCAGAAGCGCGCTGGACTCCGGGCTTGACCAGGACGACGGGCCTGCCGTCGAACTGTCAGAAGCTACGTCGGCCACGGGTCGCCCTGCGAAAGTGGAAGCTGAGAAGGTGGCCGCCAAGGCCTTGAGCATTGTCACTCCCTTCTGCAAAGCCGTGCCGACCGTGCTGAAGCAGCTTCCAAGCATAGACGTCGAAAAGGACGGCACGGCGGAAGCGGACGTCTTGGAAGATGAGGCCGAGGCTCTCCGGCGCAGAGTCGGAAGCCTCCGCTTGGCAGAAGGCCTGCGCCGGGCTCTTGGCGCTGCGGGAAGCCACCCGGGGCGCAGGCGTACTGCTCGCGGACTTGCCGCTCGCGCTCGCGGACCTGAAGGTCCGGAAGGCGGCATGGGGTGAGTTGTTGAAGAGCGCTCGTCGCCGCATCAAGGAACAGCGTCGCAACAAAGAGCAGCCGCCGTCTTCGCCTGCCGCGCCAAAGGGCAAGGCCAGGAGGCCGGGCTGTCCGCAAGTGATTCACGCGCTTCGCGCATGTTGGGGGAGGATGTGTTCCAACGGACAGCTGCGCGTATGCAAATACAGCGCCAGGCGGCACACACGCATGCACAGCCCGCCGCGGCTGTCGCCGCCGTTATAGTAATCCATGCAAGGCCGCCAGTCCGGGACTGCGCGCAGACACATGCAGAAGAACAAATACGTTCTATAGTTCGGATTGTGAGCGCTCTACAAATACGAACCAGTCTATATATATATATATAACACTTGATGTGAAAATATATGTCATATACATTTATATGTGTGCAAGGTGAGCCTCTTGGCTCAAGTCTGGGCGGGGGATTTCTTTTTCGGTCGGCCTGTCCGCGCGCGCCTGTTTATGGCGGCGAAGCGGCAGCTGATACGCAGGCCTTCCAGAAGTGCTTGAAGGTACGGGGCGCTTCTGACACGGCCAAGATTCAGATATGGCGGGGCGCCGCCAAGAAAGATATTACGGCGTGCTACACGTGCTGACCGGACTGCTGCGACTGCAGGACGGCTTGGCCATTCGCGTCGCTGTCTTGAACGTGCAGCGGGGCCTCCACAGGCTAGCTCGTGAGAGTCCGGAGCGGGGCGCCGCGTCGGCCCGGTGCCAGGGTGCGTCCGTGGCCATCTTGGAGCCCGAGCCCATTGTCTATTGCGACGGGGTCGTATGTGGAAATGTTTTAGCTGCCATCAAGTCACGCAAAAAAAATTACTGGCTTCTACTTCAGCTTCAGCAACCTGCTTGCTTGGCCGGTTTCCCTGTGGCTCTGCCGGATGGTCCGCGGTGGGCGCGGATCGGCCAACGATCCGCGCTCAACGACGCTATCCGGCTTGTCTTCGGGCTTAAGGGCACGGCTGGCACTGTGCCGGAACGTGGTGCGCAAGGGTCACGGTCCGTCAGCGCCCAACCTCGTAGAACTGCACGAGTGGCGCCAGGAAAAGTTCTTGGGAGTCAGTGACCAGGTCTTCTTCTGCTTAGCGGATGAACTCCTGGCGCTAACAAACAAGGTGGCATCCGCGGGCCCGTTGGACTGCGAGAGCCTGGACTGCACCACGAGCGGCGGAGTGTCGACGGGCAGCGTGGTGCGCGGCGACGTGACGAGCTCGGGCACGGTCTCCGCCCCGCAATTGTTCGCGTCCAACACGCTCACCGTGACCAACACCTCCGACTTCGCGGACGACCTCTTTTTGACGAAGAACTGGGCGGGCTGGAGCAAGGTGCAGATTTTCAACAACAGCGCGGCCTCCGACAGCGGCCCGGAGCTGCGGCTGCTGGGCAACTAGAGCACGTGGGTCTTCCTGGAGCAGAACGGATGGGCGCACTGCAGGACATTAAGTTTCGCTCAATGGCGCTGAGCCTGAACCGCGTCGAGTCGGGCCTCATGTTCAACCCGCGGCTGAGGCGTCGCCTCCGGCCAAGTGCTGCGACCGTAGACTTACACCACACGTACTATGCGAACGGCTGCGCCAGCTGGGAGGGCGGCCTGGCCATGGACTATCCGGGAGCCCGCAGCATTACTCCAGCGGACCTGCTGGGGCGCGCTTTGGCCTCCAAATGGCGGCGCTCAAACGAGTCCGCCCGCGCCACGTGCTGGATGAAGGCGCAGTACTTTGTTGCGGGAGGCGATGGAAGCCTCCGCCTTGTGCTGACTCCGCTGGTCTTCCTCGCGCAGCAGCCCTGGGGCACAACTTAAAGATAGACCGCGAGGACCACGTCCCCGCCCGCTTTTTTGTGTCTACCTGCTTCAAACCTGCGGCGTGGCGTCACGACGGCGCCACTGTAATTTGCTTGCGCTAGAATCTGTATTTTGCATGAAGACCTGCAACCCAGCACATCGCGCTGGAAATTCGCTGCACGAAAAAGGCAAGAGCTGCGAAAAAAAGGCGCTGTCCTTTCTGAGTTGAACAAAAAATGCTGTTTCGTAGGCCTCCTGGGATAAAAGCCCATCCTCTAAAAACAGAAAAGCCACCCAAAAGAAACCTACTTGGTGTCCTACTTATAACCTCGGTCTAAGTTGGTCGTAAGTAACTTATAACCGACTTAACATAAGTTGATGTTAAGTAAGTTGTAAGTAGGGTAAGTTGGTGCTAAGTGGAACAAACCTATTGAGTAGTGGCGCAAAGGGTGCTATGATGATAGTTCTCAAAACAAGCCTCACCTTATCATCGTCGGCGACGCTACGAAGATAGTTGTTCAAACTCATTAGGTCGCTAGTGATGAAGGGATGCTACGATGATAGTAAATGTCACGGTTAGTAGTGATGAAAAGGAAACTACCGTTATAATCTTCATCGCAATCCCCATCCTTGTCATCATCAGCATCGTGGTCATCATCTGCTTTTAGTACTATACATATTTCAATCGTGGCGTCAGACACCATTTGTAATGCAGAGCATGCAGTGGTGATGCGAAGGATACTACGATGATAGTTCGCATCACAGTCAGTCATTCAACCTCGCACCAACCCTCATCCTTATCAGCATCAGCATCATGGTCAGCATCATCCCTTATCACTCTACTCATTGTGCATGTCGTTAGACACCAGCAGTGAAGCAAATCATGTTACGGTGTGGTGTAGCATCACACTCATTCGTGCCGCAAAAGCTGCTACAATGATAGCTATCCTCACAGCCATTCATGATACCAAGGGCGCACGATGAAAGCCATCATCACAGTCCTCACCCTTACCATCAGAATCATGATCATCATCATCTGCTACTGTTATTCACATTTCACAGGCGGCGATAGACATTATTGGTAATGCAGAGGATGCTGCAGCGTTATTTATCATCACAGTCATTCGTGATGCAAAGCTACGACGATAGTTATCATCACAGCTACGATGATAGTTAGCATCACAACCCTCATCGCGATCATCATCATCATGAGCATCATCATCTCTTCTTAATGTTATTGTTGTGTACATTTCAAATTTGGTGTTAGACAGGCATTGGTAACGCAGACGATGCTATGAAAATAGTTGTCTTCACTGCGTGTCTGCGCCCTTATTATCATCCGCATCATGCTCGTCCCTTTTTTAAAACACAATCGCGGCTTTAGACACCATTGGTAATGCAAAGGACACTACGATGCTAGAAATCAACACAGCCTGCCGCGTTGCGCAAGATGCTGCGATAATAATTAGCATCACAGTCATTAGTGATGCAAACAAAGGGTGCTAGGATGATAGTTATCTTGACAAGTCTCACCCTTATCATCCTCAGCATCATGGCCGTCATCATCTCTCATTGTTAAGTACATGTCAATTGCGGCATTGGTGCAGAACGCTACGTCGCTAATTCTCATCACAGTCATTCCTGATGCAGAGGGTGCTACGATGATAGTTATCATCACAGTCAGTAGGCATAAAAAATTGCTACGATGATAGGTACCATCACAGACCCATCCCTTATCACAATCAGCATCATGGTCATCATCCTCTCCTACTATTCTACACATTTCAACAATGTGGTGTTAGAAATGAGTGGTAACGCAGAGGGCGCTACGATTATGG